CAACTCTAAACCACCTCCTGCTGAATTCATCACTTATTTAGCTGATCTCTCTCTTTTTTTAATGCTCTAATGCACATGAAAGATTGATATGTTATTTTAAGTTTGGGAACTAAACTGAGGATACATAGACAATTTGATCTAAACAAAAATATGACAGTCAGGATTTCTAATGATGAAGGAAAGAGAAGATAACAAAATTATAGTTCAGAAGCACATGTTTGCCCTATTGAAACTCTTTGCAACGTAGGCTGTTTTTATTCCTCTGCAATGTATAGTTAATATTTTAAGTAACAAATATTGTAAATTTTGGCTACTGTTCCTCCAAATAGTTGTCAGTCTAGTAAATTATAGAATTAACTTTTTTTCCTCTATAATTTTAACCATTCTTTTTATTAACATCCCTGGAATCAATATATGATGTTTTACGTTAAAACTGCAGAAATATGAATTACCATATCAAATTCCATAGGGCCTGGTAGTATATTTTTCATTTTTCAATTTTTTTGAGTGTAATTTATAGGTCTCTGAATGAATCGCTTTAGAAAGCTTGATTTTATTCTTGATAAATAGAATGATTACCTGTATTGTGTGCACACCTATTTATGACCCAAATAAACGAAGATTGATTTAGAGTCATATGTGTGTTTAAGTGGTCATGCTAGGAACTATGTGAGTAACTTATGCTCTTTTGGGTTTTGGAATCTCTGATTAGTTTAATTTAAAAGAGGACTTATGGGAGGAGAATATCTTGTTTTGAAATCATGTTTAACATTACACCTTTTCTCACCTTGACACTTTAAAGTTGGTGTTGGTATTAGGAGACCTGCACATCCCACACCGGTGCAACAGTTTGCCAGCTAAATTCAAAAAACTGCTGGTGCCAGGAAAGATTCAGCACATTCTCTGCACTGGAAACCTTTGTACCAAAGAGAGTTATGACTATCTCAAGACTCTGGCTGGTGATGTTCATATTGTGAGAGGAGACTTCGATGAGGTGATGTACTTCCCTTTCCCTTCCCAAATATTCCCTTTCCTTTTTTTTTCCTGTTGTGTTGATTATATATTAAATATTTCCTTTTCTTGATTTTTATATATATAAAGTTTATTTTTGAGACCAAAGTTTCTCAACTGTTAAGGTTTGTTTTGCTTTTTTTTTTTTTTTTTTAGTTTTCCAATGTAAAATTATTACACATACCCCTCCCTTACAGTTTGAAAATCACTGATTTTAGACTACTTAATAAACATATTACATACTTGTTCTAATTAAATTGATATGGTTTTGTCAATATTTTTTGTAGTACTGTCATTTAGTTTAAAAAGTTTTTGTCAGGAACTTACCCCGCCACCACCTCTGCTACCCTGTTCCAAGCTACTTATCACTTTACTGTGTTCCAGCTTCCTGACTCTATCCTTGCTCCCTCCACAGTTTATTCTTCACGTAGCAACCAGAGTGATCCTTTTTAGGTGAAGTAAGATTACATCACTTCTCTGCTGAAAACCCTGCCATGGCTCCCTATCTCAAAGGTTAACTATAAACAGGCATGAGGGAGTTTTGAGGAGGGGATAGACTTTTCTATATCTTACTGTGGCAGTGCTTACACAACTGTATGCATTTGTCAAAACTCCTTGAATTGTACACCAAAAAGGGTAATTTTCCTGTACGTAAATTTTACCTCAATAAACCTAACTTTAAAGGAAAAATAATGAGTTCTGGAGTTCCAACTTTGTCCATTAATTAATAATGAGATTTTAGGCAAGTTACATCCTCTTTCTTAGTTCCCTGCTATGTAAATATGATTGGAATAGATGATTTTTAAGACCCATGACAGTGCTAACATTGTATGACATAGCTTAATAAACCTGATTCTAGTATGAAAATTTTATTTTTTATTCCTAGGAATATAAGCTTTTTCATAAACTATTTAAATTCATTGGTGCTTTTTTTTTTTGGTTTTAAGTTTGAATAAACTAGAGGTGGCATGAAAGTGAAAAGTGGGGTGGGGGGCTGAGAAGAAGGGGCAGACATCTTGTCAATAATTCGAGTATATGTTTGCCATTTGTTAAAAATATATTAGGGGTTCTGTTTATGATATGCTAAAGATAGTTTCAGTAGCAAGAATTAAATTTTTTGCTTGACCCTGGAGCCATACTACCAGGGTTTGGATCTTGGCTCACACACTTAATAACGTGTGCTCCTAGGCAAGTTATTTTAACCTCTCTGTGCCTCAGTTTCCTCATCCATAAAATGGGAATCATAATAGAATCTACCTCTTAGGATTGTTTGTAATTATTACATAGGTTGATATTTATAAACTTCTTAGAATAGTGCCTGGTTCATACTAAGTGCTACATAAGTTTAACTATCATTATTATTTTAAGCCATCTATTTAACTATTAAAACCTGGGATATAATTTGAACATATCCTAGCTTACAGGTCATATTCCTTGGATTCTTAAATAAAGGAAACATAAATTTGGGGGAATTATCCTTTACAGAAAGCCGAAAAGAACTCATTCTATAAAAAAAAAACTCAACAAAGGGATTGCATGATAAGTTCCAGTTTACCTAAAGTAAATTATGTTTTGAGCACCGTTGCAGCCTTAGAGATTGAGAAGAAATCAAATATTTAACAAATATGTTGGTTGTGGAGCACTGTAGTAAAACACCCATATGAGATTGAATATTTAAGAAGGTTATTTTTTAAACCTCTATGTCTCTAAAATATTTGTTTTTCTTATGTCTATTTCATATTTTAGAATCTGAATTATCCAGAACAGAAAGTTGTAACTGTTGGGCAGTTCAAAATTGGTTTGATCCATGGACATCAAGTTATTCCATGGGGAGATATGGCCAGCTTAGCCCTGTTGCAGAGGCAGTTTGATGTGGATATTCTTATTTCAGGACACACACATAAATTTGAAGCATTTGAGCATGAAAATAAATTCTACATTAATCCAGGTTCTGCCACTGGAGCATATAATGCCTTGGAAACGTAAGTAGTATGCAATTTGGGAATTTGGGGGTTTCATAAAGTTAATAATTGTACAAGTGACATTTCATAAAAGAGAAATGTGATTATTTAAATAATTATAGCCTTTTTGGCAATCTTCTATTGGTGATTATTCTTTTTAATATGTCTAACAACCAGATTTCTCCTTGAATCCAAATTGTCATCCTGAATTGAAATTTATAGTGCTACTGCTTTTTAGTACAAAACACTGACATTATTTATATTTTCTTCCAGAAACATTATTCCTTCATTTGTGTTGATGGATATCCAGGCTTCTACAGTTGTCACTTATGTGTATCAGCTAATTGGAGACGACGTGAAAGTAGAACGAATTGAATACAAAAAATCTTAAAGCGAGGCGTGTCCTGATGATATTTCTGTTGGGCTTTTTTTTTTTTCCCATTCCCCTGTTCAACTCAAGTAATTAAATGTTTAAGAGCCACAAAATTGTATCACTTTTATAATATTTTGCAGTAAAATGTAATCTCGTCTTCTGTTAATACAATGTTCTAAGCTTCTTGTAAACTATAAGATTATATTTAGTTTAAGTATATGATTTCTATGAAAAAACATCCACCACACAGTAAATGGTCACATGTTAAGAAAAATTTATCCTTGTAAATATCTTCATAGTTGATATTTGGAACTTTACTACCAAAGTAGTGCATGAGGAGAAAGAATCTAGATTTTCTTGTATACATTCTTCTCTTCTCCAGTAATAAACAGTTACCTTTCATTTATACTTTCTTGATAAACTGTGTTTTAATTTTTAAAACTTATGAAAATAAGAGGCCAAATGAAACTGCAGACAAGTGTTACAGTGATAAGGTAGATGAGATGACCTTTCAGAGCTCGCTCTTAAAACGTTCTAGGTCATAATGTTGGACTCAGATTTTATTAACTAAATAGAATACCATATTGACATAGTAAATCATCAGTGATTCTTCAGACTGTTGCTTTTAAATGCCCTATTCTTTACGTTTTAACAAAAAAATTTTTTTAAACACTCCTGTGTAATTTGAAAAGATACGTGCACTCCAGTGTTCATGGCAACATTATTTACAATTGCCAAGATATGAAAACAACCTAAGGGTCCATCAACAGAAGAGTGGATAAAGACGATGTGGTGTGTATGTGTGTGTGTGTATGTACACACGTACATACGTACACAGTGTAATATTAGTCATAAAAAAGTGAAATTTTGCCATTTGCAACAATATGGATGGACTTGGAGGGTATTATGCTAAGTGAAATAAGTCAGATAGAGCAAGACAAATTACTGTATGATATCACTTATATGTGGAATCTAAAAAATAAACTAGTGAATATAACAAAAAGGAAACACAGATGTAGAGAACAAACTAGTGGTTACCAGTGGGGAGAGGGAACTGGGGAGAGGCAAGATAGGGTAGAGGATCAAGAGGTACAAACTATTATGTATAAATAAATAAGCTACAAGGATATATTATACATCACAAAGAATATAGCCAATATTTTACAATAACTATAAATGGAGTATAACCTTTAAAAATTGTGAATCACTATGTTGTACACCTGCAACTTACATAATATTGTATATCAACTATGCCTCAAAAAGTTAAAATTTAAAAAAAAAAAATTTAAAACACTAATGTTCTAAAACATTTAGAAGGCAAGCACACTAGAGCAAAAATGTAATGTGAACAATCCTTTCATTAATACAACTATTCCCAACTTAAATCTAGTTTAAGAGTCCAAGTGTTTGGCAATTTTCATAAAATAGGGCAAATTGATATTTCCATTTTTAACTTGTGTTCAAGCAGATATTGAGCAAGCCAGGATGTTACCTCTATCAAATGCTATTCTATATCAGGATATTCAGAGTTTTCCTCAGCCTGATTTGGAAAATATTTCCAGGATATTCTAATGTTGCTATTTTAGGACTTACTATTTTAGGACTTACAGAGAATTATACAATGTATTTTTCAGATTTAAAGAAGAATAATTCAGTTTTAGGTGACAAGAAGAATTTTAATTGTACCTAGCTAGGACTACACGCATATATTTCACACAAATTTTATTACACAAAATATTCGTACATGGAACTACATCAAACCATTTACATGGTAGTAAAAGTTTCTGAACAAACTAAAATTACTTAATGACTTAGTGGTGAATAACAATACTGAATGTAGAGAGGACACGATTCACAATCCCTTCCCCCCACCTTTGGCACATCACCAATACTCAAGATTGTCAAGTTAGCATCAGATGTTCTCCGTGTTCTTCAATTGACATTGATTGCATACACTTATTTAGCAAATCATCTTCTTTTTTTTCTTCATTCATGTATGATTCAGAATCATTTGTGGAAACTGAAGGAAAAAATAAGAGTTTATAATGTCTGTTTTGGAAATAAAGTATTTCATCCTGAAAATTGAGATTTGTATACAAGAACAACCTTCAAAATGACCTACTTTTTTAATAAGCCTTTGGCAAAAACAAATTGCAATTTTCAAAATTTGATTATCTCCCCCTCCCCCTAAATCTTATTTTTTAAAATAAGATGCCCAGTACTGTATTCTAGCCAAGTTATTGTATAGCAAATTCTCTGTTACTAAGTCCTATTTTCCCATTGCTTTTCAAAATCTTTTGACTGGGGGAAGTTATAGCTTCAGTATTCTCTGTTTTCCTTAAGTTCCTTCTCATTTCTTTTCTCTTGGGGGACCATGAGGACTTTTCCTCTATCTGTGGTTTCCTCCAGCAGTTCTTTTTGGAACCAGACTTACCTTCTCCCCTGCCATTTCCCTCATTTCTTGGATAGGCATGGTATGGTACTTACAGCAGAGCTGAGTGGTGCTGTCATACAGCAGTGGGATATGGGTTCAGAAGGCCTAAGTTCCCTGTTTCCTACCAACTTCCCTACTCACTGTGGTAGTAACTAGGAAATTATTTAACTTCCACTTAATCCTTTCCACTTTATCAATTCTGAGGAATATTTCTGAGCATTCAGTCTTTCTCTTGCCTTTTTCATTTTGTGATATTCTGTACTTGTGGTAGAAGGATCCTTTATGCTGATCCTTCCCAAATGTGGATTTGTCTGAGTTGCTCTGTAAAATTTTGATAATAATAATTGGTTTGTTTCCACTGGTTTGAATATTAAACAAAATGGTATAGGTGATATAGCCCTTTGTTAACTATTTGATTCTATACAAAATATTGCTGTCTGGGGACTTCCCTGGTGGTCCATAGGTTACGATTCTGTGCTTCCACTGCAGGGGGAATGAGTTCGATCCCTGATCGGGGAAATAAGATCCTGCATGCAGGAGTCCCTGAGCAGTGTGTTCTTTTAAATGAAAGCAGAAATCGATTTCATGTTTAGTTTTTGTTTGTTTTTTTTTGCGGTACGCGGGCCTCTCACTGTTGTGGCCCCTCTCGTTGCGGAGCACAGGCTCTGGACGCGCATGGCTCACGGGCCTAGCCGCTCCGCGGCATGTGGGATCTTCCCGGACCGGGGCATGAACCCATGTCCCCTGCATCGGCAGGCGGACTCTCAACCACTGCGCCACCAGGGAAGCCCTCATGTTTAGTTTTGTTTGGAGCAATATAAGCAAGTCACATTCTAAATTTTTTTAATGTCTTCTCTAATAGAAATGGAACTATATTGGGTTTAATATTTTTTAGCATGACATCTTTAAAAATGCATATATTAAGAATTCCACATTTACCTGATTGCATGAACAGTCTGCCTGGTTTTCTAAAAATCTTCAGTGACTTACATCTTGTTTTAGATGCATATCCAGTTTTTAAACTGTAAGAAAGAGAAGCATCTTAATTGGAACCAGCACAGTGAACAGCTGCCAAATGCATGTGGAAGACCATATATGTTCTTTTTATTAAGCTGCCGGCATCACCAAAGAGACCCTTTCAGACCCTGAATTCTCCCGTGACATACTAACCCTGAGATGCAAAGCTAACCATTGTAGCGCAGGTTGAATAATCAGGCATCTTAATCTCTTTTTTCCTTTTTCCTTTTTTGTTTATAGTATTCCCCTGTGCATAAGCCACCATATGCTTCTCCTTTTGAAAGTGTTTGTATTATTTTAAATTTGAGTGGGAATCATTTAAAAGGGCAGTCTTCCATATCTTTAGCTGATCGAAATTTTTACAATTCCACAAAGTTCTAAAAACAGTAACATATCCCAGTCAGCTCAGTAAAGAGACTATAAGATAGCATTCTTTTGTGCTTTTTGTCCAACCTATTCTGAATTTAATAAAGTGAACATATTAGGGAACACAAGATTTAATGTCATTTAGCTCAAATAAAATTGAGGGGTACATTTTTCTCTTAAAGAGTAGGAAACAAACCTTTCTTTATTTCTCACTGGTCGCCAAAGGGAATGCTGTATGATCATCTCAGGTGCAGATGCAGCTGCAATGTTAGAAGGCCCCGAGTCCTCTCTCTCCAGCTGGTGTCGCCATGTAGTGCAGGGGTAATGCTGCTTCTGTGAGTAACGAGAACTGAGGTGGCTCCTGTGATGAGTGAGGACACCTGTCACACAAATCACCTGTTAGAACACCCTCTTGTTTCTTGTGAGAACTAGTGAGAAACTACCTGGAGGTGCACCTGCCTGGTTTTTGTGAGCTGTGCTGGGTCACATGCATGTACTCCCTCTTCATTAACGTCCTCAGATAGTTTGCATTATAGATCTTAGCAATGCTGCACAGGTAACGCTTCTGGCCTAAGGTGAGGTCTGGATGCTAGAAGACAAAACAAGATTTATAGGCTGCATTGTAGAACAGAGGTTGGCAATATTCCATATCTGAAAGGATAGAATGTTCATTTGGCCAAAAAATTAAGAGAGAAAGAAATGGCCATTTAAATAGTACAAGTGACTCTGTTTGCCATTTCCACTCAAGTGATTCAGATGCCCACTGGGTTTGAGAAACACTGCCCTAGAAGAATAAGGAGAGTGTGAATCTGCTGTCTGTCAATGAGTCTTAGTTCCCATGTGCCTCTCAGTGAGTGTAGGCATCTTGCCTTCTGAATATGATGTTTGAGGTGGTACCTCAAAAGTGGTACCTAAAAGAAACACAATTACTCTAGTCTTAGAAACAGTCTTTTCTAGCACCAGAAGAATAACTCGGTGTTGGACAGACTGAGGGTAGTCTGTTGGTCTCTTATATAGGTAATTTTTTTTTTTTGGCCGTGCCTAGCGGCATGTGGGATCTTAGTTCCTGACCTGGGATCAAACCTGTGCCCCCTGCAGTGGAAGTATGGCGTCTTAATCACTGGACCACCAGGGAAGTCCCAGTCATATAAGTAATTTTGACTAAGATTTTCACTGTACTTGCTGATTTTAGAAGTTAACACCTAAAATGCAAGACTCCACTATATATGCATGTGTATATACATACAAACACAAGATTTACTGAACTGAATAGATAATAAATGCAGAGAAAATATTAAATGTTGGTCAGAAATAACTTACCAGTTTGCACAGATCTTTAGTAACCTTAATTTATATTGCTCTAGAGAGGGTACTTCTGCCAGCTATGATCTTTAATGGGTAATACGGGTCAACAGTTATGAAGTGTTTATTGCCATTTTCTTTACTTACTTGCTTTTAATTTTGTGGTCCTTGAGCAAAATCTTTATGAGGTTGGGTTTCTGTCTCTAGAGTGGAACTTTCCTCAAGCATCTTTGTGCTTGGCACTGAGCTTCCTGAGTAAAGGTACATTAGATCCAAAGTATCATAAAACCCTGAAAGAACTCTTATGATAGGGAATCTATAATGATAAAATCCTTGCATTCACTCATGAGTTTACCCAGCAGATATTCATGGACTCCTAGACAATGTGCTGGGTGTACTTGTCTTCTACAGTGCCTTACCCTCTAACTAGCTTATCTTCAATAAAAAGTTCAGCTCTGAATACAAAGACTATCGGTATTTAAATAAAGTATTGGTATTTGGTTAGCATACCTTTAGAAAGGATGTCTCTGTCATTGACTTAGGGATGTGAATTGTTTGAACTTGAGGCGTTTTCCATAACTCTTGCAGCATGGCTATGTGTGAGTTCATTTTGTGTCCATCTTTGAATCTATCTGTAGGCAAGGACATTATTATGTGAATTTCATAAGCAAAGATAAGTTTAACAAATTAATTATTAAGATCCATCTATTTACATGTGTCATTGATTATCCTGGAATATCAGTATGAGTCAGACTGTTAAATCTGAAGAGACATTATGATATGCCATTTGGTTTTAGAGCACACAAAAATCTAAGATATTTATAAATATTTACTATATATAATGATATAAAATCATTACATATGGACAAAATTATTTTGAACTCAGCTGAGATGCAAAATGTTGACAGTAACTTATTTCTTTAGTTTATTGTATGTCAGACCATACTAAACAGGAATATACATGCAGGATTTGTGCTTTAAAGATTTTCAAAAATATTTTATCATTCATTTGCCTTCAGTATATAGTTTCAAAATTCTATTCTGCATTAGACTCAAGATAGAATAACACACATTTTATCCCTTTAATGAGGCAGTGTTAAAATGAAGAGCTTTAGGGACTTCCCTGTTGCCACAGTGGTTAAGAATCCACCTGCCAATGCAGGGGACACGGGTTCAATCCTTGGTCCGGCATGATTCCACATGCCGTGGAGCAGCTAAGCCCATGCGCCACAACTACTGAGCCTGCGCGCCTAGAGCCTGTGCTCCGCAACAAGAGAAGCCATGGCAGTGAGAAGCCCACGCATGGCAGGAAAGAGTAACCCCCACTCGCTGCAACTAGAGAAAGCCCGCGCGCAGCAACAGAGACCCAACACAGCCATAAATTAAGTAATTAATAGTAATTTAGGGCTTCCCGGGTGGCGCAGTGGTTGAGAGGCCGCCTGCCAATGCAGGGGACGCGGGTTCGTGCCCTGGTCCGGGAAAATCCCACATGCCGCGGAGCGGCTGGGCCCGTGAGCCATGGCCGTTGAGCCTGCGCGTCCGGAGCCTGTGCTCCGCAACGGGAGAGGCCACAACAGTGAGAGGCCCGCGTACCGCAAAATAATAATAATAATAATAATAATAATAATTTTTTTTAAAAGAGAAACTGCCATCAAGGGGGTTTCATCTTCTAAAAAAAATAAAAAATAAAACAATAATAATAATAGTTAAACGCAACAAACAACCCAATTGAAAATTGGCAAAGGGTTTGAATAGACTTTGGATGTCTCCAAAGAAGATATACAAATGGCTAATAAACACATGAAAAGATGCTCACTACCACTAATGATTAGGGAAATGCAAATAAAAATCACAGTGAGATATCACTTAATACCCATAAGGATGACTATCATCAAAAAAACAGAAAACAAGTGTTAGCTGGGATATGGAGAAATTGGAGCCCTGCGCACTGCTGGTGGGAATATATTGAATAAAATGATTTAGCTGCTGTGGAAACAGTATGGCGGTTCCTCAAAAAAAGCAAACAGAATTGCCATATGATTCAGCAATTCCATTTTAAAACAACCACATGTATATAAAATAAATAGTGATATATATGTATATACACGCAGATATGTGTGTGTTTTTCCTAGGTAACTGTTAGGACTATAAATTTTCCAAGGAAAAGCAAAGTGAATTCAGGTTTATATATCACTGAATTGAAATTGCTCCCCTCAAAAAATTAGTGAGAGGTCTTGGGAGCCTGTCTTAACTTCTTACCTCCAGCAGCTCTATCCTTTACTTCAAGTGAGAGGAAAATAGCAGCATTGAGAAATATTTTATGTTCTTTGAAGTTGAACAATTTAGAATTTTTTCCTTCAACCTGTGTATAAACCCCAGGTTGTGTTCTGTCCTTTTCAACCAACATCGGTTATAAACACAGTTCTTTTCGGATTCATTGCAATTTTGAAGTACTCTTTTGATGTGAGATATCTTAACAGGAGACAAAGAACCTGCTGGATTGTTGTTTGAAAATCTTAAAGAGTTTACCAAGGATGCTAATGAAGACTTTTTAAAATTCCATTGTGTGAGTAGTTATAGCAAAACTGGCTTCTCTGAGCCATATTACTGATACATATTATCTGCTTTATATGCTCTACTCACCAATACCTTTGGAATTCTGGTAATAAGAATATCCAGCTGATCTGTTTAAAAAAAAAAAGGGATGTAAATAGTATGTAATAATTGACAGCTTTATAAGCATTAAAGAAAGTATTTTAAATGAAAAAAGGACAGTATTGCAGATGCTTTTTACTTTTCATGTTTCCATCAGATAATAATGTCTTGCAAATCTTCTCCTGTAATTCTGGTTATATTCTAATGACTCCAGGCTTCTTCAAAGTGGGTTATCTGAGATTTTTACCATTCTGTAAAGGATTTACTGTAAGCCAGATTTGGCTTTACTTTTATAGCCACCTAATCTAATTCCTACACCGAGCTCAATAAAGTTTGGGCTTCTGTGCTATTCATGATATTTTCTTCCTTTATTTTTAATAAAGTAATTTATTGTATGTAATTTAAGGTGAACTGGAACTGATAAGTTGGTCTGGAATGTTGCTAATTTTGTACAAGTTCATTTTTTCTTTTCTCAAATTGACAAACACTCCCCTTTTCCTCTTCCTGCAATTTATTCAATGACCAAGAATTCATTGATCCCCTGAGATACTGGGATCCAGAACTCTGCCAAGCACTGTGACAAACAGAAAAGAAACACACAACCCCATCCTATCTTTAGAAATCCTAAATCCACAAATACATTTATTTTTTTAAAAAAACATGGCCATGGGTGCAGCAGGAGCCATGACGGTGGGCTTCAGAGGAACACCGGGCAATTCTCACTTTTAGGGAATAACTCATGCAAGGGATAAGGAGGTACTGCCCACAGCAGTAACTTCAGCAACTAATTGTCTTCAGCATCCAGGAAATAATAGTAAAAACCTGCTCAAAATGAAATGGATTTATGAAAAAGGAACTACTGAGTGAAGAAAATGTTAAAATCAAGGTGTCTCTAAGATTCAGAGTCATCTGTCTCATTACAGATTATGAATCCCAAGTTGACATAAAGGTGGCTAATGTCACACACAGGGAAATGATTTGACTTGGAAGCGCTTCTTTGAACCTCTGTTCCCTTGGTGCCCCCCAACCCCCCAACCCCACCCCGCCAACCCCTTTTCTGTAGAAGTACGTTGACCAGACCGCAAAATTGCCAGCAGATTTCGTAGCGCCCCCTGGGGCAGAAGAGGCACCCAGGCGACTGTCGCAGTCACCGCGTTTAGTCAGTCATTGCACCAACCCTCTTCCTAAGCTTCCCTCTGAAGCCCTTCCCCTAAACTGAGTCGGCTTCCATATTTCCCATCGCGGCCACAACAAAGGTTCTCTCTTCCTCTCACTTCAGTACATTGGGGACCAGTCTACTGGAGCAGCCTGCTCCTACCCACTCCTCTACCCGGGGATCACGACCCGGGGCTGATCGCCATCTTCCCAAACCCCTCAGGGCCCCGCAGCCTCACCCGCCGCCGCCACCCTCGGCCCTGGCCCCTGTGGGCGGCTCTGTGGAAGAACTGCACTCCGTCCACTCGGACACTGGACCCTGGCCGGGCATCTCCTCCCGTGTGCCCTGACCGCGAGCTATGTGCGGGAGAAGCTTTCCCCTTTCCCCTCCCCTGTCAGCACGCGTGCGTCAGGCAGGGCAATACTGAGGGTGAAGAGGCAGACGCCGGATTCCAGCCCCCTCCGATGAAGTCCGGACACTGCCCGAACAGCTTCGGGAGAGCGGGGAGGGCAGATCCACGATCCTGGAGTTAAGTTGGGGGAGGGGCGGGAGTCCTTTAGTTGATTGAGCGTTTGTACGTTTGCATCTTTTTGTGGAAGGGATGCGTCACGGAAAGGAAGGATACCTTCCCTCTAAAACGGAAGGTGCCTTCCACCTCAGTATCCAGATCCTCTGCAAATTTGTAAATCTCGAGGGTCACCATATAGGTCAAACATCAGTACGCAAATAAAGGACCAAGGCACGCGGCTGAGGGATGCAGAGTGTTACGGTTGTCCGTTATCACCAGGGCAACCAGACCTCGCCAGAATCCCAACCTTTTCAGCCAACTACTTCTGCGCACGCGCAAACCCTCCTCGGGCTTTTCGCAAAACGCGTTTCACATGGGATTTGGCCTTCCGGACACCCCGTAGTCAGAGGCGCGGCAGAACTGAAGACGCAAAAGGAATTTGGACTGCGATTGGTTTGTAGCCGTGTTCCGGGAACTCAGTGGGCGTCGCGCGAAGGCTGAAGGGAGCGTCGTGGTGGCGCTCTGGGTCTCGGCGGCGGGAGGTGTCAGGAACCGCGGGAGCAAGCATGCCTCGGTATGCACAGCTGGTCATGGGCCCCGCAGGCAGCGGGAAGGTGAGGCTTTGGCGGAAGAAGGAGAGAAATGTCGAAGTTTGTGGGAGGCTGGGAGGTTCAGGTCCTGAGGGAGGAGCTGGCGGTTGTGTGTATTGGGGACCTTGAGACCCTGGGCAGCTCGCTTCTGCAGTCTGGGCTTCAGTGTTCCTTTTGTTGTTGTTTTGAAAGGAGATTGATGATAGTTGCTAATATTTATTGCGTACTTAAGCCCCAGATACTGCCCCAAGTTATAGCGTACTTAAGCCCCAGATCCTTTCCTGTTAAGGAAAAAAAACTTACTTCCTTAAAAATCCTGTGAGTTAAGTCCTGTTACTCCCATTTTGCCGGTAAGGAAAATGAGACACAGAAAGGTTAAGTTTTTGCTCAGGGTGACACACCTAGTAAATGATGGCTGGAATTTGAATCCAGTTTTGTCTAACTCCAGAATTTGTCCCCAGTCTTTAACCCAGGAGGTTAAAGTGGGGTCTCGTTAATCACTGCTTCTCAGAGATTGAGACGTGGACTTAAGGAATTTGAGGAGACTTTAGGAGGTACATGGGCCTGACATTAATGAACATTGAATCGTGTATTGAGAAAGTTGCTCCCTTTTCAGTTTTCTTTCAGTTTGCATTGAGGTGAAATCATCAGTTTGGTGCTAGCGTATCTTCAACACTTCTTTAATTCTCAAGTCTTTTTGGAGAGCAGATTTTAGACTCAGAGGTTTTGACAGGCAACTATATTCAGCTAGAACTGAAAGAATTTTGTTAAAGTTGCATATAATTTTATGGTTACCTTCACGTTATGGAAATTATAACTGGTTTTCTGGTTAGAGATACAGTTTTTTCTTGTAAACAACTATTAAGGGAATCCTATTAGGGGCACTCAAATATGGTAGAAATTGTGACGATATTGATCAAGTAACAGGAGTGTGGGAAAACACTGGAGTCTGTGGAGGTGTTGTGTGGCTTCAGTTTTTTGTTTTTTGTTTTTTTTTTATAAATTTATTTTATTTATTTTTGTCTGTGTTGGGTCTTCGCTGCTGTGCGCAGGCTTTCTCTAGTTGTGGCAAGCAGGGGCTACTCTTTGTTGTGGTGCGTGGGCTTCTCATTGCGGTGGCTTCTCTTGTTGCGGAGCACGGGCTCTAGGCACACGGACTTCAGTAGTTGTGGCTCGTGGGCTCTAGAGCGCAGGCTTAGTAGTTGTGGCACACGGGCTTAGTTGCTCTGCGGCATGTGGGATCTTCCCGGACCAGGGCTCGAACCTGTGTCCCCTGCATTGGCAGGCGGATTCTTAACCACTGCACCACCGGGGAAGCCCTGGCTTCAGTTCTTAAATTGACAAACACGTTGCTCTGATGCTTGGCCTATTCTGGGTGCAGGAGATACACATGCGACTATGATATGGCCCTTGCTTACCCGAAGCCAGTAGTCTATTTAGGAATACTTAGACTAGTTACTTAAAATACAGTGTGATGTATAGAGAGGACCTCCTAGGCAGAGAGAACAGTGTGTGTAAAGTCACTGAGGAGAAAGATAAAAGCATGATAGAGGTTATTTCTATATTCTAGATTAATTTTCAGACTGATTGTGTTAGATAAGTATCTTTCTATAAACTTTTGATGCCTGCTACCAGAAATACTCACTGGGCATGTTCTTTGTGCCAAGCATTGTTCTGGGCCCTGGGGATTGTGTAGTGACTAACACACACACACAAAATCCTGTGCACTTGTGGAGTTTATTCAAACATATGAGTCAATTAGAAATAATTATCAAGCATTTATTATGTACCAGGTATTGTTATAGTCCCTGGGCGTATACAACTGAATAAGACACATCCCTGCCTTTATTTATTTACTTACTTTATGGCCTTGCTGTGTGATTTGCTGGATCTTAGTTCCCTGACCAGGGATCAAACCTGGGCCTTGGCAGTGAAGGTGCCAAATCCTAACCACTGGACAGCCAGGGAATTCCCAACACATTCCCGCCTTTATTTTTTTATCTTTTATTTTTTAAAAAAGTATTTATTTGTTTATTTGGCTGTGCCGGGTCTTAGTTGCAGCATGTGGGATCTTTGTTGAGGTGAGTGGGATCTTTAGTTGCAGCATGCAGGCTCTTAGTTGCTACATGTGGGATCTAGTTCCCTCAACAGGGATCGAACCCGGACCCCCGGCATTGGGAGTATGGAGTCTTAGCCACTGGACCACCAGGAAAGTTCCCACATCCCTGCCTTTAAATAGAGGGTGGGAGAGACAGACAAGTAGCCTAGAGATTTTAACATAGTACGTGAGGGATAAAAAATTTTCTAAACCCAAAGTTGTATACTGATAGTGCACTTCCAGGCTATTTACTGGCCTGATATTCTCTCATCTTGGAACGTTACTCCCCTGGCTTGGCAAGCACACTGCTGTCTCTCAGCTCAGATATTCCCTTCTCAGAGACATCGTCCCTGAGCACCCCACCTAAAGCTTTGTTTGGACTGTACCAATCCTAGTGGAGACACCTTGTGTCAGGTGCTGCAATGTGTAATCAGAAATCTTCCCTTTAAATTCCACTTGTTGCATGTTAGAGCAGTAAGGAGCCTTGGTGATCATGGAGGCCATTCCAGTTAGAGACAAGAAAATTGAGGGACAGATTGGAAAAGCACCCTCCCCAGAGTTACCCATGAGTCCGAGCCAGGTCTGGATCTGCAGCCCAGTCAGGTGTCCTGACTCCCAGCCCAGTGCCTTTTCCCTCTTTTCAGTCAGCTTCTTGGTCAATGAAGGAATAGTTTTGGCCTTAGTAGACACGGCTCAAGGGGTGTGGAGAGTCCCACTGCACTGCTTGTTGCTCTAACCCCTCATGCTTTGTGACATTACAGAGCACCTATTGTGCCACCATTGTCCAGCACTGTGAAGCCCTCAATCGGTCTGTCCAAGTTGTGAACCTAGATCCTGCAGCAGAACATTTCAACTACTCCGTGATGGCTGGTAAGTCCTGAGCAGAGCCTTCCCCCTCCTTCAGGAAAAATAGGGGAGTAGGGAGGCAGTGAGCACTGGCTGCTCAACACAGAAGCTGAAAATTAATACAGTCTGGTCCCCTGGTTTTGTGGTGAACAACATGAGGCTGAATGTCATTTGGTGACATCAGCTCATGTTGATGTATGTGACAGTATCCTTTCTTAGTCTCTGATGTAAGAATTAAAAGTGGGTAGACTCCTCCCTCACCACCCTTCCCTTTTGTTTCTTTCATGTTTGATCATGTTTGGTAAACCTGTTTTACTGCTGATCATAGTATAAGTGAACAACCTAAATGTTTTGTTTTGTCATTTAAGTCTTTTAATTTATTCATTCAATTGTCTGTTGAACACCTACTTTATGCCAGGCACCAGGGTTATAGCAGAGGACAAGACAGATACTATCCCTACCTTTGTGGACCTTTTAGCAAGGGAGATAAGCAAAATGATAAACATGTTACAGATTGTGGTAAGGACTGCTTTAGGCTGATGAGAAGGAATAACTGGGAGAGGTTGCTTTAGGGATGACATCTCTGAGAAGGAGCTCTTTGGGCCTAGACCTGAAGATGGTAATGTGCTCACCAAGTTGGAAGAATATCAAGGTCACTATATAAGGGAGAGATGGGAAAGGGCTTGGTGTGTTCCAGAAAAAGCGAAGATGCTGATAAGCTGGGGCATAAGGAGTGAAGGAAAGAGATGGGTAGGAGCTAGTAGGACATGAGAAGTATGGGTTTTTTCCTGTTTTTTACCCTGTTTAGTCTGTTTGGGCCACTGTAACAAAATACCAGACTGGGTGGCTAATAAACAACAGAAATGGATTTCTCACAGTTCAGGAGGCCAGAAGTCCAATATTAGGGTGCTGCCAGCATGGTCAGATTCTGGCGAAGGCCCTCTTCCCAGTTGTAGACTGCTGACTTCTCACTGTGTTCTCACATGATGGAAGGGGGAGAGGGAGCTCTATGGGACCTCTTTTTTTTTTTTTTTTTTTTTTTTTTTTTTTTTTTTTGCGGTACACGGGCCTCTCATTCCTGTGGCCTCTCCCGTTGCGGAGCACAGGCTCCGGACGCGCAGGCTCAGCGGCCATGGCTCACGGGCTCAGCCGCTCTACGGCATGTGGGATCTTCCCGGACCGGGGCACGAACCGGCGTTCCCTGCATCGGCAGGCGGACTCTCAACCACTGCGCCACCAGGGAAGCCCTATGGGACCTCTTTTATAAAAGCACTAATCCCATTCACCTCCCCAAAGCCCCACCTACTAGTATCATCATCCTGGGCGTTAGGTTTTCAACATATGAGTTTTAGAGGGACACAAATACTCAATTTATAAGGGACTTCGCTGGCAGTCCAGTAGGTAGGACTCCACGCTTCCATTGCAGGGGGCATGGGTTCAATCCCTGGTTGGGGAACTAAGATCCCGCAAGCTGTGTGCGGCACAGCCATCCCCCCCCAAAAAAAAATCCTCAATTTACAGCACCTTTCAACAGTGGAATGTCATTAGAGGGTTTCCAGCAGGGGGAGAGGATTGACATCTGATTTACAGTTTTCTTTTGTTTTTTTTTTGGTGAGGGGTTATTTGTTTTTTTAATATTTATTTATTTATTTGGTTGTGGCGAGTCTTAGTTGCGGCAGGTGGGCTCCTTAGTTACAGCAAGAGGGCTCCTTAGTTGCGGCTTGTGAGCTCCTTAGTTGCGGCTCGCTGGCTTCTTGGTTGTGGCACATGGGTTCCTTAGTTGCGGCTTGAGGGCTCCTTAGTTGTGGCATGCTAACTCTCACTTACAGCATGCATGTGGGATCTAGTTCCCAGACCAGGGATCAAATCCGGGCCCCCTGCATTGGGAGCATGAAGTCTTAACCACTGTGCCACCAGGGAAGTCCCTGATTTATGTTTTTAATCTTTTTTTTTTTTTTTTTGCGGTACGCGGGTCTCTCACTGTTGTGACCTCTCCCGCCGCGGAGCACAGGCTCTGGACGTGCAGGCCCAGCGGCCATGGCTCACGGGCCCAGCCACTCTGCGGCACGTGGGATCCCCCCGGACCGGGGCACGAACCCACATCCCCTGCATCGGCAGGCGGACTCCCAACAACTGCGCCACCAGGGAAGCCCCCTGATTTATGTTTTTAAAAATAACTGGCTCTCAGATGAAAAATGGACTCTAGAGGGTCAAGAGTCGAAGCAGGGACCAGCAGTGAGGCTATTACAGTTGTCTAGGTGGCTTGGACTAGGATGATCGTGGTGGAGATACAAAGGAGCAGGCAGATATGGTATATATTTTGCAAGTAGAATTAGCAGCATTTTGTGGGAGATTGAACTAGAAGGGTGTAGGAAAGGGAGAGATCAGGGGTCACTCTTAGGTTTCTGACTTGAGCTGTTGAGTGCATGATATTGTTTACTGAGGAGGAAGACAAATCAGTTTAAGTTTGAGGCAGTTCTCTTTGCACATGCTAAGTTTGAGATGTCTGATAGCTATCTAAGAGGTTATACCAAGAAGGCATTCGGGGACTTCCCTGGTGGCGCAGTGGTTGGGAATCCGCCTGCCAACGCAGGGGACACGGGTTCAAGCCCTGGTCCGGGAAGATCCCACATACCGTGGAACAACTAAGCCCCTGCGCCACAACTACTGAGCCTGCGCTCTAGAGCCCGTGAGCCACAACTACTGAGCTTGCGTGCTGCAACTACTGAAGCCCACAAGCCTTGAAGGTGTCTCATCTTCAGGGGTCAGGTAGAGGAGGTGGGGTCAGTGAGGTAGGAAAAAAGTCAGGAAAATGTAGCATCAAAGAAGCCAGGAGGGGACTTCCCTGGTGGCGCAGTGGTTAAGAATCCACCTGCCAGTGCAGGGGACACGGGTTCAAACCCTGGTCCAGGAAGATCCCACATGCTGTGGAGCAACTGAGCTTGTGCACCACAACTACTGAGCCTGCACTCTAGAGCCCGTGCTCCGCAACAAGAGAAGCCACTGCAATGAGAAGCCTGCGCACCGCAATGAAGAGTAGCCCCCGCTCACCACAAGTAGAGAAACCCTGCACGCAGCAACGAAGACCCAACACAGCCAAAAATAAATAAGTAAATCTATTTAAAAAAAGCCAGGAGAAGAGACTGTTTCACTAAAGAGCTGGTGCCTGGTTATGTCAGATGCAGCTGGGAAGTTGTACAAGAAGACAGAGGAGTGGCTGTGAGATTTGGGAATGTGGAAGTGTTGGCGACTTTGGTGATTTTAGTGGGATGGTAGGGATGGAGGCCAGGTTGCAGTGGTTTGAAGAGTGAACTGAGGTGATGCCGTGTAGATGCTGAGCAGAGATGACTTGCTGAGGAAGTTTTGCTGTGAAAGAAGCAGAGAAGTGGGACTATAACTGGTGGGGTATGTGAGGGTCAAGGGAGGTTTTAAGGTTGAAGATGGTAACTGGAACAGAGTTGTATGCTGAAGAGAATGATCCAATAAAAAGAAAGAAACTGAAGATACCTGAGAGGGGCAATGACTGTAAGGTTGACTGCGAGAGTGAGAAAGGGGAGGGGCTCCCAAACAGGTGGAGGGTTTTGCCTTTGCCAAGAGTTGGGGGGTTCTTCCATTGTAGCCGGAAGGAAGCCAAGGTGGAAGGCACCATGTAATATTGGTGGTGGGAATGTGGGAAATTCTCTTTTGTTGACTTCTGGTTTCTGTGAATGTCATGTGTGGTCATCAGCTGAGGGTGGCTAGAAGTGGGTGTGGGTAGGGTGAGGGAGGCAGGTTGAAAAGAGAGGAAGAGGTATGAAACAGTCATCTTCCTTGAGAAAAAGCATTTCATTGCTTTGGGATCATTTGGTTGCTTCCAACAGAGAGCACTCAAGCTAGCCTATATAAAAGGAGGATTTTTTAGAAGGAATTGGGGGACTTCTCACAAAACCCAAGAGCAAGCAAGGCTTTATGAGAGACTAGAACCCAAAACATAAAAACTAACAGGAATCTAGGCTGGCTTTCTGTCTCTTTTTGTCTGTCTTACAGACCAGCTTCTCTGCTTCGGGATGCACATGGCAGCCAACAAAAATCCCCCCACTTCTAGTTCACATCACTTTCTGGTACAAGTGCCTTACTGACTAATGTCCTTGAGTCATCCTTTTAGAAGGCCCTAACTTTGAGCAGATGTTTATCCCTGGGAAAGTGCATAGGAAGACATTATCCATATAAATGTGGCTGTGAGTGAACTGAGATTGTAGGTTTGAACACAAGAGTACTGATTTCCAAAACTTTGTAATAGAAGAGAACCATGTGTGTACCGGAATGTTTAAGCTCCTGCTATAGGTGATTTAGCTACATTATCTCATATAGTCCTCATCCTTCTACCCCAGGATATATGATTTGTCCCCACTCTTATACATAAGGAAAGTGAGGCACAGGGAGGTTAAGTAGCTTCCCTAGGGTGATGATATTAAGAAACGGTAATTGGTTTTCTTGGTATGGTTTTGTTTTACTTGCTTAAGAATAGGTGGTGTATATTCACATTGTTCAAATTGCAAAAGGTACAGAAGAGTAAGTATGCAGGAAACCGTCTTCCTCCCAGCTCTGTGTCCTGGCAGGTGGCTACCCTCCCTTGAGGCAGCCAGTGTTGCTAGTTTCTGGGATATCTTTCCAAAGTCTATGCATGTAAAATAAAATATGTATATTTGTATATATAGTAAATTTTTGTCTCTTTTTTTTTTTTAACACAAATGATGGCATTCTAACACAGAGTTCTGCACCTTGCAATTTTCAGTGAATAGTATACCTGGAAGATTATATCACCTCAGTTCTTAAAGAGCTTCTCCTTTATTTTATTTTTTTTGCGGTACGCGGGCCTCTCACCGCTGTGGCCTCTCCCGTTGCAGAGCACAGGCTCCCGACGCACAGGCTCAGCGGCCATGGCTCACGGGCCTAGCCGCTTCGCGGCATGTGGGATCCTCCCGCACCGGGGCACGAACCCATGTCCCCTGCATCGGCAGGCGGACTCTCAACCACTGTGCTACCAGGGAAGCCCAAGAGCTTCTCCTTTTTATGGTTGGATAGGATTTCATTGTCTGGCTGTACAAAAATGTATTTAATTTGTTACTATGGACACTGCTACAGTGAATAACCATGTACAGAAGTAATTGCATGCATGTGAGTTTTTATATAATTGTTAATTATCACCAGTGAGGATAATGCTCTTGTATTGTGGTCCCTCTCTGTGGTTTCAGACATCCGGGAATTGATTGAGGTGGATGACGTGATGGAGGACAATACTCTGCAGTTCGGTCCCAATGGAGGATTGGTATTTTGCATGGAATACTTTGCCAATAATTTCGATTGGCTAGAGGACTGTCTCGGCCATGTAGAGGATGACTACATCCTTTTTGACTGTCCAGGTAAGTCAGCTATCTGAATGTATCATTTTCCCTGAAGTCGTGCTCATTCTGTCCTCAGTGGAGAAAGTGGAGTGAGCATTCGTAGCTCTAAACCCTGCTGCAGTAAGGTACAACTCGCTTACTTATTGGCTTATATTAATTCATTGAGTTTACTGAGTGCTTATTTTGTACCCTGGAAATACCTAGAAAGCAAGGTACCCATGGTCTCTGCCCTCATGGAGTCCACAGGCAAGTGGTAGTGCTAGGCAGTATAAACAAAAATCACCCAAATGGACTTCCCTGGTGGTACAGTGGTTAAGAATCTGCCTGCCAATGCAGGGTACATGGGTTCAATCCCTGGTCCGGGAAGATCCCTCCCACATGCCGCAGAGCAGCTAAGCCCATGTGCCACAACTACTAAGCCTGTGCTCTAGAACTTGCGAGCCACAACTACTGAGCCCACGTGCCACAACTACTAGCCCACGTGCCTATAGCCCATGCTCTGCAACGAGAAGCCACTGCAATGAGAAGTCCACACACCACAACAAAGAGTAGCCCCCGCTTGCCGCAACTAGAGAAAGCCCGTGCACAGCAGCGACGACCCAGTGCAGCCATAAATAAATAAATAAACAAACAAATAAATAAATAATCACCCAAATGATTATTTAATATATTTCTGACAGGCACTCCACAGGAGTAGCACAGACCATCACACAGCAGGGAGGTTGGGGAGGCTTCTCATCAAGTAGCATGTAAGCCAGACCTTAGGGTGAGGTGAGGGAGACTGTGCTGCAGGCAAAGGGCACAGCATGTTGAAGGCCTTGAGGCAGGAAGGAATGAGCTGTGTTTGAGGCACCAAAAAGGCCCTTGTGGCTGGAGCACAGTAAACAAAGGGAAGTGTCCTGAGGTGAGACTGGTAGGGGACAGATGATCACACGACTTCTCAAGCCAAATTATGAATTTAAGACTTAAGCCTAACCTAGTTTTGATCGTTTGTGGCTCTCACATTTTTTCCCCTTTTTTTAAAAATAAATTTACTTATTTATTTATTTATTTTTAGCTGCGTTGGGTCTTCATTGCTGCGCGCGGGCTTTCTCTAGTTGCGGCGAGCGGAGGCTACTCTTCCTTGTCATGTGCAGGCTTCTCATTGTGGTGGCTTCTCGTTGCGGAGCACAGGCTCTAGGCGTGCGGACTTCAGTAGTTGTGGCACGTGGGCTCTAGAGCGCAGGCTCAGTTGTTGTGGTGCACGGGCTTAGTTGCTCCGCGGCATGTGGGATCTTCCCGGACCAGGGCTCGAACCTGTGTCCCCTCCACTGGCAGGCAGATTCTTAACCACTGCACCACCAGGGAAGTCCCTCCCCTTTGTTTTTAACTGAACATACACACACCCACAGAAAACTGCAGAGGTCATAAGTGTACAGCTTGATGAAGATTCCCAAACCTAACACACCTTTGTAGCATTCACTTTTGATCAGCAAAAACGGAAGTGTGAAGAACCTCACTTTCTACGTAAAACTGCATAGTTTCCTTGGGATTCTCGTGGTATTGTGATTGCTTCAAGAGCCTGTAAGACCCCTTGAAAATTGAATATGTTACCACCAGAGGTTGACTTCGTTTTTTTTTTTTCCTCAGCTGTCTTATAGGAAATTGTTTTCCTGTAATTTGGTAATTTAACATATATCCTGATTGTAATAGTCTCATAATGTTCTTCATGTAGGTCAGATTGAATTGTACACTCACCTGCCCGTGATGAAACAGCTGGTCCAGCAACTAGAACAGTGGGAGTTTCGAGTCTGTGGAGTTTTTCTTGTTGATTCTCAGTTCATGGTGGAGTCGTTCAAGGTTCGAGGATAAATCTGTTGTCGATTTTTCAGTCATGGGTACAAGCAGATGGCAGTCTCCTTTAATTGTTGCATGATTTCTGGATGTTTCACAAACTATACTCCAGAATTATTTAATATCCCGTAATATTAAATTATTATAATAATGTATTCTTAACTCAAATGATAAATTGTGATACTGTATATAGATTTGGGGGAACTACTTACCAAGAAAAATTAGGCAGATGTGTATCTTCATATAAGTCTGTTTTTCTGATGATGTTTTATCTAGTTTATGAACTATCTAAAACAAACATTATTTCCCATTAGTAGCCCCTAAGGAATATTTGATGGAAAAGATTAAAGGTGTCATCTAAATTGAGATTTGTGATCACCATGGATTAAATCTACATTTTCCCTCCTTATCCTCACCCTTGGAAACCAGGGGTCAAGAATCTGATTAGTGGACTGTCTTCTTTTACTTTACTTTAGCCTTTCTTTTACTTAGGCCAGTTTTGTTCAGAGAGAAGCAGGAGCCTCTCTTTTATGTGGAGACCAGGGAACTTTTTTGGCACCAGTTGATTCATCTTCCCTTTTCTGTTTCCTCCTTCAGTTTATTTCTGGCATCTTATCAGCCCTGAGTGCTATGATCTCTCTAGAAATTCCTCAAGTTAACGTCATGACGAAAATGGATCTGCTGAGTAAGAAAGCTAAAAAGGAAATTGAGAAGTGAGTTTGCTTCTTCCATATCATCATATGTCAGCTGCAGAGATGAACCTTCTAAGCTTTATTTCGATGTGAGGTTCTGTCAGTCTATAAATCTAGTTTCCTGATTTATTCTTCCTTTTATTCATCAGTCTTTTTTCTCACTTTTAAAGGTTTCTAGATCCAGACATGTATTCTTTATTAGATGACCCTACAAGCGACTTAAGAAGCAAAAAATTCAAAAAATTGACTAACGCTATATGTGGACTGGTAAGCTTTCAAAATTGTTGGATTTTATTTTTAATGACCTGGTCAGGTGTGTATTGGCATCCATTCAGTGGCCACCATTTTGGAAAACATGGCCCAACCCTATTGCCTTGCCAAAGGAGGAGGGTGGGAGTCTGTGGGCTGGCTGGTCAGCAGTTTAATTTAGAAGCAATTATTGGCAGTAGCCAGTAAGTTAACTGATGTGTCTATTATTCCAAGCTGTTTTGGGAGCTCAGACTGTCTTTGCCTTTTGGAATTTCCAGTGGTGGTTGAGTTCAGGTAAATGCCTATGAAACAGTGTCTGGTTCAGTAACAAGTTAGCAAGTATTCTAGTTGGTCATAAGCCAGAAAAATCAGTATTGATTTGCTGTTGTTCTGTCTCTGTCTGTCCTTCCTCCCCACAACACACACACATACACACACACACAAATGGTTTTAACCAGAAGTATAAATGGTTATAAAACTCAAATATAATTTGAAAATTAAGTATTTTGTACTTCAGAATGACCCTTTCTGAAATCCCCAACTTGTAGATTGACGACTACAGCATGGTTCGATTTTTGCCTTACGATCAGTCAGATGAAGAAAGCATGAACATCGTATTACAGCATATTGATTTTGCCATTCAGTATGGAGAAGACTTGGAATTTAAAGAACCGAAGGTACTTTCTGGTTTGGGGTGTTTATTGCCTTTTGGTAAAAACGTTTACCAGCACTCACTGGCCTCCTGCATAATCCCATGGAGTTAAGCTCTTTGTCCTCAGAGCTTGGGCATACATGGAAAGAGGAGGTGAAATGCAACTGGGCTCGGGCTGCCCTCACGTATGTCAGTGAGGCCCTGTCACAGCACATTAGCTGAGAATTGGCATGAATATAAACTCGAGGAAGAGTTTACTTCTAAATGAGATATAAGCCCTTTAATTTACCACATGTCTGGAAACATTCTGTCAGTCATTCCTTTTGTTATTAACGATCACTGTGAGCAACACCTGGAGCTGATGCTGGGCGTTAGCTCCTTATAGAGCATTACCTGAAAAACATGTAAGCATATACTAGGTCTAACTGAGGGGAAGTGGATGTATTTTCTATCTTGTGTTTCCTTTGTGTCAGGAACATGAAGATGAGTCATCTTCCGTGTTTGATGAATATTTTCAAGAACACCAGAATGAATGAAGAGTTTGTTAAAAAGTAACCAAATGTGTGAGGAGCTTGTGGCTGAACTGGCAGAACCTTCTTCTCTTCAAAAGATGGAATACTAGAAAGCTACTTACTTTAATGAAAAAAAATAATACTTGACTCTTTATCAGCAATCAGGAACATGCCTGAATCAAGTTCTTAGTTATTCTGAAACTGCTGCTGTTTAAAGTGGCATCTTTTAGTATTATTGGAACAGCATAATTTAGATTTTAAAAGTCGAAATTGAAATGAATGTAGATAGATTTGTGTATATAATATAAATTAGCACCTGTGATACAGTTAAGACCAGTCTACTTTTAGTTTTACTGTTTGATTTTTGTTATTTTTGAAGTTTTTTTGGAGGGACAGGAATTATTGTAACAAAATATGCATATATGTGTCCAAAGAAAAAAAAATCTGGAAGAATATAGATAAGACCATTGCTTACCTGTATCTCCCAGTTTTCCTACATTGAAAATGTATTATTTGTGTAATTTAAAAATGAAAAGTAACTGTGTTTTAAGATATATATGTATATAAATAAAAGAAACAGGAAAATAGTACTAACTTTTTATTACACTCTTGTTTTCCAGTCAGAATTTGAAATATTCAGCCAGGGCAATTTGTTTTTTGGTTTTTTTCCAAAGTTTTGAATGAGTAAATTTCCCCAAGTGTCCAAATGTAGGCAGTGCCTTTTTTTTTTTAAGTGTGATTTGTAGTCTCTGAGCACTTAAAAATGTGTACTTTACTTGAATAACAAATGCACACAAAAATGCAAAAGATAATTTTTTCTTTTTAACACATTGAATTATTTTCAATGTGTTAAAATAATTATTGAATTATTTTGACACATTGAATTATTTTCAGTATTTATAAGTTCATTTGTGATAGGCCCTGGGGAATGGCTAGTCAGTCAACAGATACTTCTCTAGCACCCACTAAAGGAAAGCAGAATCTCTTTTATTGAGTTCTGCCAGGCATTGTGCTAAGAAGAAGCATTTTGCATAATCTCTTTCATTTAATCCTCACAGCAGGTCTGGTCTCCATTGGTGCTGGATCTTCCTGCAGTTGCAGATTAAGTCCTTGTAGAAAACCTGTAACTTGGGTTAAATTTTTAATCATTCTTGGGCCTAGATAGCAGAAGTACACCTGCAGTGTCAAATTTGATCCATTTTCATTAAAGATGCAAAGTGTGAGGGGCCATAGCTATCAGTGGTAACTTGTGCCTAGCGGCCCAGGCTGGGGGCAGGAGTTGGGTATTTGCACCATGGTCCGCTGGTGTGAGCTATTCTCACAGGGCACTCAGGAGAGCATGATGAGTGGACAACATGAGGACGTGCTGGGCTGCTCGGGGACTTTTTCTGTGGCCCTTGAGGATGCAAAGGTCAAAAACACCCTGATCTCCCAGTGTTGCTAAATTTTAGAAATGTTATTGTCATGTGAGAGGGGAAGAAAGAAAAGACAGCTTTTCATTCGCCCTCTTCATTACTCCTTGAGCTATACCTCCCTACTTTAGCTTCTGGAGAGTCTGGTGTGTGCCTGTGGGGAAGAGGTGAAGGGTCAGATTCCATTTCCTTCCCCTCTCGACACTGGAGTTTAAAAGATGAATATGACAGTTCCAGTCCTGAAGGATTTCACTGTCTTGTAGGAGAGCCTGACGTGATTCTTCAGACAAATTTACTAGTGGGTGCCAGGCACTGGGGCTAAAATGGGACTGCCTAGGGCAAACACGACCTTACTGTCATGCGATGATATGCTGGGCCCTTAAGACTAACCATAAACAAGGGAACCTCTGATAAGGAATGTGAAGAAAAGAAAACAGTAATGAAATGGAGAGTGACTGTGGGGCTACTTTGCATGCCCATCAAATAAGTCTCCCCCTAAAAGGTGCAATTTGGCCAGAGATGTAAATAACAAATCAGTTGTGGGAACATGGGACAAAGTAATCTAGTTTGAGGCACTGGCAGAAGAAATGGCCAGAAGCAGCAATGACCTTGGCTTTTAACCAGAGGCATAATAGGTTAAGAATTCCTGAGCTTTTAGTATGTTCTGGGCGTGTAATTTCAAAGCACTTTACATGCAATTCGTTTCATCCTCAGAAAACTGAGGTAAGTACTGTTATCTCCATTTTCAGACAAAGAACTGAGGCACAGAGAAGTTAACTTGCCCGGAGTTACACAGCCAATAAATCTTGGAGCTGCATTCAAACCCAGGGTCCATTTTCTCAACTATTACACAAAGAATTGCAGCACATAATCACACGAGTAATACACAAATCTCTTCTCACTGTGATCCTTTCTCCGTTTTTAAAATCAGTGGATTGAGTTCATTCTTTCACTCAACAAGTAGTATTGATGCTTACCATGTACCATCACTGTTATCGGTGTAGTGACATAGCAGTGAACAAAACAATCCTTGTCGACGTTCACATGGAGAGAGGGAGACAAAACACAGAAGTAAACTAAAAAGAATCAGAACTAAGGAAGAAAAGAGAGAAAGGGGAGTGAAGTGGGACTGAATTTAAAATAGTGTGCCCCAAGGAGTGCTTCACTGAAAAGGTGATCTTTAAGGAAAAACAAAGGAAGTGGTGATTTATCACTGGGATTCAGTACCCCCAGATCCATCTCCACTTTTGCGCACACCTCACGCATGCCCGACACTCAGAGCCCATGCCTAAGGCTCGGGCGCCCCCTGATGCCCCTGCGTATCCGCGCAGCCGCAACAGCTAGCCGCGAACAGCAAGGCCGGAAGCGCGGCGTCCTGCCCTCGCCCTCCCCTTCCGGCTCACTTCCGCCTACCCCGCCCGGGCTGCCAGACCGGAAGCGCCGCGCTCTAACCCGATCCTCCTCATCGGGGTTGAAACCCGGGCGCCTCCAAGATGCCGGTAAAGGGGCCGAGCTGGGGGTGTTGGGAGAAGGTGGGGATTTGGGAAAGTGGCGAGAAGTCGTGGGTGCGCTGAGAAAAGCGGGCCGAGGGGGGCAGAGAGAAAGCAGGGGCCTGAGAAGGGGAGAGGCGAGAGGAGCGGGCCGGCCCCTGTAGGATTCGGGCGGCCCGGGGCTGTAGACCGGGCTTGGAGGACCGGGGCGCGGCAGAGTGGGCCGGAGATCCCGGGCGTGCTGAGGAGACTGCCTCAGTTCTTCTGCCCTCTCCTCAACAATCCCGACCCCTTTTCTCGCCCTTTCTGCCTTCCCCCGACTCCAGCAGGGTTCCCAAAGCCTCATTAGAGCCGCGAAGGCCAGGGCTGCCCTTTTAATTTTTCATATCTCAAGTCTAGAGTCAGCTTCTCCTTTTTTTCCTGCAGGCCCACTTCCTCCTCCGCCTCTGGGGGCGGGTCTCTTAAGCTGCTTGTCATTTGTGAGACCCCACTTCCCGGACTCCTCCCCTGTCACCCGGGTAGTGGCGGCCACCCCTGCGCCGCTGGGTTTAGGGCTCTCAGAGCAGACGCAAGGTCCGCGCCTGGTTTCCAGATGTTTCTGTTTTCGCGTGCATCAGAGTGGGAGTAAAAATTGATGGTGGTTTGGTTGCTCTTAAGTACTGACAGCCAGTCTCTGGGGTAGATTTATCACCATCATGGTCTCCATTTTGCAGATGAGGAAAAAAGAGGTTCAATAACATGTGATTATTCATAGGACAAACACTACTGAGCACCTGCTGCATGCCAAGCACTGTGACAGCAGTGAATAAGGCCAACAAATCACTGTTCTTAAGGAGTTTACATTCTAATGGGGAGACCGACAATAAACATGTAAATACAAATAAAATAAAGGAGATTGTTTCAGATAATGACAAATGCCATGAAGGAAATAGATGGGTAACAAGACAGTGTAGCTGGTGAAGGGGAGGGTAGAGGCTTGTTTAGATGAAGCATATCTGTAATAAAAATAAAAACCATAGTTATCGGTACGTATTTTTACGGATCTCATAGCTACCATTTGACTCCTGACGTATGCCAGGCAGGCCCTGAGCTACACACTTTATATAAATTATCTCATTTAATCCTCACAGTGACTCTTATCAAGTAGATATGTTATTGTTTTCTCATTTTGCAGAGGAGGAAACTGAGGCTCAGAGAAGTTAAGTAACTTGCCCAAGGCTGCACACTATTAAATCTTGATAAAGCCAGATTTTACCAGAACACTAAAGCCTTGTACTCATCATTCCAGTTGCACCTAGAGCACCTGGGCTTCCCCTGTGCGGGTGCTCTTAAGAAAACAGACTTAATGTCTGTCTTCTCCATTCACCTGAAAATTCTTCAAGGACAGAGCCCATACTAGCCTTGCATGCCATTGGATCCGCATGCCTTGCACACAGAAGGTGCTTAGGAATCTTTTGATGAATGAATGAATGAATAAATGAATGGGGCCCATGTCTTACAAAAAGCCAGACATCTTGTAAAAAGCAGAACTAGAAATCAGCCTATAAATTGCTCTCATAAATATGATTTTTCCCCCTCCTCCTTTAACTCCCATCCACCCACTGAAAGCAAGTATGTATCTCTTCATTTTACAAATTTGGAAATAGGCTAAGAGAAGAAAAGTGATGTCTTGGTCAAAAGGCATAAAGCCAGGAAGTGGCAGAGCTGAAGAGCCAGTGCTTGGGTTGTGGTTTAACAACAGCTGGGGGCTGGGTACCCCTGATTTATATGGTGTTTGCCTATTTCTATAGTGTAAATACTCCACCAGTTACCAATGTGGTGTCACTGAATGTGGCACTGGAAGAGATGCACATTAGCACCTCATTATATAGTATTTACACCATAAAGATACAAAAGACATAAATAAGCTTAAGATCATATTAAAAATAAATTTTTTAAATAAGAAGTAATAAATTTCAAGTATTTATTACCTTTGTTTTTAATATAATTTACATAATTGTAAATTTATATAATTTCATTTTTAATAATGGCTGTGTTCAGCAACCAGCTTGTCTCAAATTTTCTCAAAATTTAATAGTCAGTTTTCATGAGCCAGTTAATCTTGGATGAGTTAGTCTTTTTTTCCTTTAGGGAAATGTACTTGTTTGCCCTGCTGACATTTGCTCTCTTTCTGCTTTTGTGTTCTTACCTGGCTTGCCACTACAGGCTTACCACTCTTCCCTCATGGACCCTGACACGAAACTCATTGGAAACATGGCACTGTTGCCTATCAGAAGTCAGTTCAAAGGACCCGCCCCTAGAGAGAGTAAGTCGAAACTCCATTATTTTCACATTTTGGTATGAAACCCTCTGATGTCAAATCAAGGAAATTCTGTCTCAGGTTGCTCTTGTATTTTCTATTTGCTTGGGGGATATTGTGCTCTAGACCTTTTCAGATCATGGGTATATGTTGCATTTAACAAGAAACTGTATTATTGCTGCCAATTTCTCCAGGATATTTTGTTGAGAGGGAAGAGGAAATGTGCTTAATTCTCAACACTCTTCCTATCATCACTATCATTTCTTAAAAACTAATGCTGCTACTTCTGTAGAACGCCATGTCTCCCTCCTTTCTCTGTCATCAAGCTGGAAAAAACAAAATGTATTTTAACCTCTTCTTTATTTAAATCTACTTTCTTTGTCCATTCT